CAACAAGACTAGCTTCCCTAGGTTCCACCTGCCTTGCTGGGAGTGCGAAATTTCTGACTGGTGTCTCCATACCATTTGTATATTTACAACCAATTGCTGAGTCTCTAACCTCACAATTTACCCGTGGAACCTTGCCAGCAGTTATTTTATCATCACCTGGGGAAGAGGAGGTGAAACAGACAAACGATCCTGCAGTTCCTCTTAAACTCCTTTGACTACGCTCTTGATGATTGTGTGAGTAGAATGATCCAACAGCATTGGATGTAACAGTGGATCTTCCTCTCGCTGTAGATGAGCAATTAGTGCTGCCATCATCAATTGCAGGAGTAATGCCAGGTCTCAGGTAGATATCATTTATTGAGAGATTTGTAAGAGCACACCAAGCCTGACAACATAGGATAACAAGTCAATTTATATATGAATAATGAATGAAGAGAGGCTTCTCTGTAAGGGGAAGATTAAACCGACAAAAACCAGGGTTAATAAAGTCTATGGACAGAAAATCTTCAAGATAAGGAAGAAAAGTAAACTATGGACAGAAAATCTTCAACAAGAAACATGCTGAGATGATTGGATCAGACGAAAATTCAATTACCATCACAAGTTTCTCTTCAACAATATTACCTTTGTAATTTGTTGGTGTGCCAAACTTTGCACATTTACAGAGATGATGTTGTCAATTGACCTTGAAAGACAGAGGAACAAGTTTTTTCAGATAAGTGTAGATCACTTCAGCTATACAAGGCTGATATCTAAAGAAAACTGAAAACCTCACAAGAGTTTCCATCATTGACATCATTTTACTAGAAATCACAGGACGATTTCATGAACAGCTAGCTCTTTTTAATTGGAAGTGTTGGAAGTCACTGAAGAATGGACCCATAGATAATACAGAGTTTCATATAGCCTGAGTTATCTATACGAAGAATGAGAAGAAGTGATGACACACAAAGATTTAAACGATGCGGGTAAAGCGAGATGATATAGAGTGGTGGAACACTATCCTTGAAGTCAGTAGTAACCAAACAACTAACAGAACTGGACCAAGGGATACGAAAGCGAAGTAACAAGAACAAAAACACAGAAAGAGATGAAAGCTCCTCAAAATAACACAACAATACCTTGAAGCTGTTTCTCTGTTTCTTCCAGGCTTTTGACTTTCTAAAGAGTAAAGAAGACTGGAGCTCAGAAACTTATTTAGGGATGGTAAACACTCAAACGCCTTGGCATGTTCCGACCAATTTGATTGAGGAAAGTGACCTCTGGAATTTTTAAGTTCAGGTTCAGGGAGATAACTCCCACTGCATTTAAACAAGCAGGAATCAAGACCAATCAAGCAAAATTCAAAGAAAAGATCCAAAGATCAATCTTACCTCATCTTATTAGCACTTATCATAGATTCTAACATGCCGAAGAGCTTTGAGCAATTTGATCCTCTCTTGTCACTACGATTTAGTGCACTTCAGAACCATTGGCATTATGATTAGTGGAGTTGTACACTGCAGATTGTACGAGATTTTAGCTGTAATCCAATGAGACACAACGAAATTCACAATTAATATCATAATCTTCTGCGTGTCTATTAAGAAAAAGCGAATAACCAACCAATCCGAACATTTAAAAAATTAAAAGTGACGCAGAAGCTGAAAAGTTCTCCAGAAGTAGATAATCGGAAACGAACCGATCTACGATGACTAACGAAGATTCCATTTACACACAATCATCGGGCAAAATAATCAAAAATTAGGAGGAGTAGTCATAATCGCAGACGGAAAAAGACGCATCGGTGTGAGAAAAGAGCGAACAAAAAAAACCCTAGAAATGACAGAGAAACGGGAAGCCGACATTACATTTTCAAATCGGTGAAACTCTCTTGCTTCCCGGCGGCGAAACTCTTCCGATAAGATTAAGATCTCAAGGCGGCGAGAGAGGAGACAGATCGCGCGGCCACTGACATTGTTCAGGAGTTCCTTATGGCGGGATAGTTAAAATAAAGGTCCCTCTTTCTCCCCCACAGACATCAAAAAAGAAATATATTTTTGAATGTCAGGATATTTTTTTTATTTCTTTAGAGCATGCTGGGAAAAAAAAAAAAATTTAAATTGTAACTTTAATCACGGTTTCAGATTTTTATTAACATGTATATCAT